GCAGCCTAAAGCCATACATACAGCTGTCTGGAAGTCAACCTAAACTATCTGATCAGAAAAAAGTGAGAGAAATCAATGCAGGAGAATTGTCAGAACAATGTATTGTCAGCGTTATTTTGGAACTGTAGTTCGGAGACTTCAGGATAGAAAGCCTACTGATGCATATACTGATTTTCACCTGTAGCAACGGTTTTCGCTGGGCGGCTCGTAAGGTACACATTCACATATTTCAACATTTCTCGATCTATGTTCGCTTGTATTTCCAGCACTCACGGCCGATAAATGAAGTAAAGACATTTTGGTGTGAATCACTGCTTGACAGAAAAATTCGGGAGAAGTAACCAACAAGAAAGTTCTTCGCAGGAAGACGTCTTAAAGCGAAAAAGCGCACACATTCTTTCCGGGTGAACAGGTAAAATCCATGAATCAAGACGCAGGAACATTCGTAGCTAGCAAAAACCCTTACGTGCTGCCCTACGCGTCACTGGCAAACTAGCAAGCACGTGTGGTCGCATTTTAACAGCGGTACAGGGAACAGAGAAGTGCAAAGACTACGTGCAGATTAGAAGGGCTAGGCAATGTGCCGACTGCCTCCGTGCATTTCACTAGTTAACGTGCGTTTCTTGGTATTACGGAAGGTGGGCGGGTGCTGAGTGGCTTGTTGTTGTTAGGGTTGTTTTACTAGCCAAGAAGGCTAGCTTGAGTCCCTTGCTCCGAAGAGGGACGGCGGAAAGTAGACAAAGTTTTCTTCAAGCCCTTATTGTAATTTTCTAGGTAGTTCCAATGGTGTTTAGAATGATTTTAAAGGGTAAAAGGGTTTTTTTTTGGCACGGCTCCGAATTCACAACCAGAAAATTGATTTTGGGTTCTGCTGGTTAGGATTCCTCACTGCAAAATTCAGAAGAGGCATCTGGACATTATTGCAGTGTGTATTGTCAGCCACCGATCATGATTTTCTGGTAACCTACTTTTATCCTTATTTTTGGCACATAAAGTGCTTTCTACTCGTTCCTCTTCGCCTGTAAGGTTTGGGGCGGTGTCTGCGAGCTAATTTCGTATTTTCAAGCACCTAATGTTAAGGAACTGCTTATTGAACGTCTAACCAATGCAACTCCACGACGACGAAATGTGGTGTGATGGTAGAGAACTTGGCTGTGTAACTGTAGTCCGGGCGATACGCTGACGTCTGAAGTCCTATCCCGTGAAACTTTCTAGGCAATTTGGTGTTTATTTGGGTGGTCTTGCATAGTGAGTTAACGCTTCTACATGCAGAGGTAGGAGGAAATTAGTTTGTAGACATTGTTGGGTTCGCCAGAAGTAGCCAAAAAATATTAAAATTTTGCTGAGAAACTTTACGTAGGAGTTGGATTGAACCCTCGGTATATGTGAGACTATAGTTGCAATTTCGACTTTTCAACCACTGAATTATATATAGTCCTCGTGGAGCCCCATCGAGCGGGCATAAGTGTTATAAACCAAAATTCAACACTTCACGCTTAAGATTGGAAAAGTGGAGCAAATATATTGCTGATAGCATTACAGGTTAACGGGGAGGGGTGAAATCACGTAGTGTTACAAATTGATGTGATTTTATGGAAGAAACCGTCTGATTGAGGGAGGCCGGTATAAAATGCAATAGCGCCAGTTCTTGATTTACATTTCGTATTTGTCTGCGGCTGTACGATTCTTGAAAATTGTAGTTTATTAGTTTTAAATTTTCAGTTTTGTCTCCCTCGGTCGCTGTTTTGTGCAGGTAATATGAACGCAGTGAAGATTTTTGCAAACTTTGCAACATCCTCACGGGCGCTGGCGGTGAAGGTAACTACTTTCAGTTGTTTTTTTAAGGCAGTTTAGCCGTTTTTTGTAGGGTAGGCCTTCTAAAATATAGTAAATTTCACTTCTTTTTCTATGTTCACACTATTTTGCTGTAGGTGATTTTTAGCCTTAAGTGGATGTGTGAATAAGAGACTTGTGGGGTTAGAGTACTTTTAAGACTAACCTCGCATGGTCGGGGCAGAATCTTACAAACTGCCGATACTGTTGTTGTGATTTTTAACATGAAATTAATAAGTTGAATAATCTTCTGGAGTAATTTTTATAGGCATTTTGGAAAAGTATATTGAGTAAGGAGTTTGGTCATTTAGATATGGTGTGATGATCGTTCTTTGGCCCTGAAGTTCAGTCAATTCTTTGTGGTATACTAGGCGGAGTTTGACTGAAATTAGTTAACATTGACCTAAGGTTGTGTAATTTCTCAGAAGAGTGATTACTGTCAAGGTCAATGTTCTTTTAGCAGCAAAAAATAAATTTTTATGTGGTAAAAAGTCAGAATTGGATTTTGTACTGTTGATGAAAAATTGTAATGGTGTTTTGGGTATTCTTTTATAGAAAGTTCCTTATTGTTTCGAAACCGTAAATTCTTGGGAATGGAAATTTCCGACAAGGCGCATTAAACCAGTAAGGACTGAGTCAAAAATGCTTTTCTAAGATACTCAGTTCGTGTGCTTTGAAACCAGTAGGTTGTAGGTTTCATGGATAGTATCGGGCATTGCCAGATAGTTGCTGCTAAGCAGCATTCTTCTGGTTCCTTTTTAAATATGGCCTGCTCCGAATGGCTGAGCATAATGCGTCATAAAATTTCATATCTTAGTGTTTAAGAAATATTCGGTTCAAGAATTTTTTTGCAGGGAAGTTTTGAAGTGACAGTTATAATTTTTTTTTGGTGTCTATAATACACAGGGCTCTATTTTCCTAGATTCTCTGTCTCACGAGAAGATACTAACCGCCGAGGATTTATTTGTAAAAAGGTTTTAGTCTCTTCCGGTGTTATTAATGGCTTACTGTTTACTTGCTAGCGTGAATAATTCAGGTCTTTATCACTGTTTTGAACTTCCAGTGTATTGTGAAGTAATTCCTAAGTGGTTCACTCCTGTTGTGAATTTTCTGCCATATCTTTAAGCAGGTCTTCCTTTTATAAAATTTGATGAAATAACATATTGGATTTTTCTGTGTCTTCAAAAGTAGGTTTCATAAACTATTGGTCTTCAGGTGAGTTTTTCTGAGCTGTAGGCATCTTTTGCTCATAAAGAAGAGGCTTCCTTTAGGACAGTATTCACCATCGGCTAAGAAAGTAAAACTTTTAAAATGGTGGGGTTGGTAGACACTTATTGAGAATTGCAATACATTAAGGTGAAAAAGAAAATGCTAGTGGGCATCGTAGTGCTTGTAGGAATAGAGAAGCATTTGTGCTCATGACTCTATTTATTTTCCTCTCTGTGATAAAAAGCCTCGATGTATGAGTTTTTCGAAAGTTTTAGAAGTAGTTTCTTGTGGTGCTCAGTTTTAATTTTGAACTTTGAGAGGACAGTAGAAGGCCGGGTTAGTAAGGCAGCTGCAAAGTGGGTTTCCTTCATTTTCTTGATGATTATCAGATTGAACTTCGTTTTTATCGCTAAGGTCATTATTATTTTCACTATCATGTTGAGCTTATTTTGCAGTCAGAGTTTGAATCTTTTGAAGCTCTTTCAGTTTGGCGGCACCATTTAACTTTCAGTCAAACAAGTTAATAAATTCTAATTGTGATCAATGTAGTTGTGTATTACAACCAGTAAAGATGACTGGGCTACCGAGCTAAAAGTGCCAAATTACTCAGGTCACCGTTTCTTCCGAGATCATTTACTGGTAGCTTTTGTTGATGCCTAATTTTCTTCAGTGGCAGTATTTTCCTTAACACTACGTGTGGCTTGCTAACTTAGTTAATTATATTATTTTTTTCCTAACTGATGCCTTTTACTGGCGGCTATCTGTGCACAGCTATAAATACTAGCTTCATTAGTTTTCGGGTTTTGTAAGATTATCATTTGAACTTATTTTTAGGTTGTGCTTAATAGCTAAAATTAAGTAGAATATTTTCAGAGTTTCAGCACTCATCCTCTTGCTGGCCTTTTAGGGCGCCTTAATCACGTTGCAATTGCTACACCAGATATCGAGAAATCTGCAAAATTTTATAGAGACCTGGGTGGGAAAGTGAGCGAGAAAGTGGTAGGTTTTTCGCTTACTTGCAGTTTATGCATAAAAATCTGTACTCTTACTTCTCGTTTGAGAGCATCGACATTTTCCAACACTTTAATGACCATTAGTTGCTTGAATTTCAGTATTGCTGAAACTAACTCTGTAGCGGCGTTTATTTGATACTCCAAAGGTAATGAAGTAACGCAACACGGTATTTTGTCTTTTTAGCCACAACCGGAACACGGTGTTTACACAGTATTTGTCGAGTTACCAAACGCAAAAATTGAGCTTCTGCATCCATACGGTGAAAAAAGTCCTATCCAGGCATTCCTAAATAAGAACAAAGAAGGGGGGATGCACCACATATGTATTGAAGTTAATCATATTGACAAGGTAATCGTTTGGTTATATTACGGTTCGGTTTGTGATGCTGTGGAGTCTGAAGATTAATTTTGGGTTTGCCATCTGAACTTCAGACGTTATTTTCCATTATTATCTTTTAAGAAAAATTTATTAGGCTATCTTTTTCTAAGCTCAAAACAGTTTATTTAGTAGTTGGAGCCTTAACGCGGTTTTTGAAATACTCGAAAAACTGTCTTGTTTACAACGGCCTACAGCCTACTGTTAATTGTTTCTGTTTTGAAGAAAGGTCGAGTCAACGAAGTCGATCAGAACCTTTTTTTTTACTTGAACCAGAAGAATGGTAGCGAGTTGTCAAGGTGATGGAGATGTGTGCGTGTGGGAAGAGAAAAACAATTTTGAAGAGAAGTGCGGCGTATTGCTGCTTTAATGTAGCTTGTAAACGTAGGTAGGAGAAGGGCAGTTGGCTTTAGTTGGAAGCAACTTAGGAATAAAATTGGAAGTACAGTGAAAAGAAAAACAAAACTTCTGGCTTTTTACACGTTTTGACTTAGTAAACAAGTTTTTCCAAATATTGTGGGTCATTTCATGCTGACTCACATACTTTTTCTATTTGGTGTCTCAAAAGATTTTTTAATTTCATGGACTGATCTGATTCTAGAGTAAAGAAACTGTAGACAGATTCTGGAGAAGTCAGTTTTTTGCCAATTTATATTTCGCCAAAACCCAAAAGTTTTTCAGATTCTGTAAATTAGTTTTTGGAAATAGGGTGGACTGTTTCTGAATTCCAGTAGAAGTATTACAGGTAAGGAGAAATTTAAATCTTACACATAATGGCAAAATTTAAAATGTAGGAAAATGTGGATTTTATAGAAAAATTGGAAGGATAATGCATTTTTAATTTTCTTTCGCTGTATGAAGTTTTATTGCCTTCAAAGTGTGATGGTTTCTAATGTCGAGTTACAGATTATGCTCAACTAAGGAAGCGAGCATGAGCAGTTTCTGTACATCCTAGTCAGATGTTGCACCCAAATGCTCTTCCAATTTTTTTTTTGCTGCGCTTGGAATTTGATTTGAAAAGATTATTTTCAATATTCGTAATCTGGCAAATAATAACTGGTGCATCGTTCAAAATGCAGTTTTTCTGATGTTTCTCTTAAGAAGTCAATTTCAAGTTACAGTGGTGACGTAGGGTAGCGGTGAATGTGGCCTATGAGAAGGAAAGGGGGCACAGTTAGGTAATTCAGCGAGTAGTTCACGAGGCCACCATATTGTCCAAGTTGTTAAAGAACTTCTTTGACTCTGCCTTTTTTCTGTAGCATGTAGTATTTTCACGACATAGCTTAGCCATTAGTGCAGCATTCTGATGAAGGTACCCAGAAACGTGCATTTTACACGAGTTTTACAAGTAGTACAGTTGATGAAATTTTATTGTGCCGGAGATCTGTTTGATAGTCGGCTTGTATAAAGAAGGCTGAAGTTGAAAAAGCACATTTACAATTTTTAAGTGCTTTTGCTACATATCGAGTTCCGCTTTTTATGCCTCCGTGGGTATTATCATGAAGCTGGAACCAGATGCATTAGTTCAGGCCGTTTTTTTTGCTCTGTACTGGGAGGAGCACAACTCTGCTCCTCAGAGGACATTGACCTCTCTTTCTGATCCACATTTGCTGCGTGGAAGTACCAACATTTTTTTAAAAGTATTAGAGTGGGATGGAGATTTGCGTTTAAAAAGTTTTGGATACAGATAGGGTTCACAGCATACACATTTCTTTTTTGCCTTTTAGAAGTCCAAATTAAATTTTTTCAATGAGAAGCTTCAGGCCTCTACGTTGCAGGTTACCAAGATAAACTTACGTTTGCTGCTTGCACAGTAGTTTATGGTTCTGCAAGTTCCCTTTCTCTTTACATTTACTTTTCTCAAATTCGTATATATCTTTTGTATATGAAGCTTAGATTTTACGATTGAAAGTAGTCAGGTCCTTGCATTTCTGGAAGTGGTCAGGTTATCGTCTACATACAAATCGTTTCTAAGACTCCTACTGCAAAAACCGGTCACTGTGGGAAGGTTCCTTTTGTTTTGACTCCGAACTTTAAACCACATTATTTAATTACAATCTTAGAAGGAGCGATCAGTATTCATGCTTGGCGTGTGGAAACCGGAGGAAGTTTGTTTAAATACAGCTTTGAAAGTTTTGGAAGCCAAGTTAGAGGAGAAAATGAGGTTGAAAAAATAAGAATTTTAGAACGAAAGTAATCATTTTTTTTGTCACATGTGTACACATTGGAACTGTGTGGAGCGGAGCATTTCGCGGTATTGAATCTTTATATTCTTGTGAAATTTTAGCCTAGTGATTTGCATCATCAAAGTACAGTTCAAATTGCTATTTCATGTTCACGTTATATGATGAATTAAAGTAGCCAGTAATCCTTGTGCTAATGTTAAAACCAACGACTTGGAGAATTACTGTGTGTAGGTGTCTCAAGCTGCAAAGATCATCGCTGAGTAGTATGGGTTGTTAGCAGGTAATCATTTTGTTTAGGCGGTTGCTGAAGTAAAGAGACTTGGGATCAGGACTCTCGCTAAAGAGACCAAAATTGGAGCTCATGGGAAGCCAGTGATGTTCCTGCATCCAAAGGACTGTGGTGGGGTTCTAATCGAGCTTGAGCAGGAGTAATCAGGAAATGCCGTGGTGGTCCCATGCGTAGACACGCGTTGTTGGTCTTCATAGTGCATACCTTTTGCTTTTATTATCCTATCACGATATTGAACTTACTCTTACGGAGTAGCATACCTTGCATTTCCTTTTACAAGCAAAGTTTCTGAAGCTTTGTAATTAATAAATGTCACACGCGTATACAGTGGTTTCGCTATTTCTGAACTCTTAGGTGGGACGACTTATAGAATTGGTTTCAAAGTTGTTGCACGGGGGAACTGTGGATGTTGGAGATGGAGTGGCCACTTCAGTTGCGTGTTAGGCTCTTGGAAGTTCAATAAAGCTTTCAGCAACGCCACCGATTGGCATACAGTTTGGGGCACGACAGGGACTGGTCCCAAGAGTCCGGCATGAAGTGCTGTGGACAAAGGTAGCACAGCTTAGAGTGTAAACTTCTACAGGACGCTTGGGCATGGTAGTGAAATTTTCAAGATTGGGGGAGCAGGCCTTTTTGGCGAGTCCATGACTTTTCTGCAGAAGTGAACACGGTGGCCAGAGTTTATCGAGGGAGTAGGCACAGTTAGACAAGTCTTCTAATTCACGATATGAAGCCGGCTAAGAACAAACACACCTGAGTTTCAGTCAGCCACAACATAAGTAAATACACAGGTAAGAGTGAATACCGAACATTTACCAATAACTTGTTATTGCGATAATGTAGCAAACTTATTCAACATGAACGAGGAAACGGGTATCGAACTTTTGTGAGGAGGCAAATGTAGTTATTTAACTGTTGAAGAAGACTTTCACCGTGATAAAGTTTGGGGTTTTAACAAGAACTGAAGTTGAATGAGGAGTGGTATTTCAAAAAACTTCAATTGATGAAAGTGAGACTTATCGACATTTAAACCTCATTTGGTGAAGGGAAGGGAAGTGGCTGAATACGTTAAAGACAGTCTTAACTGCTTTTTCACAGCAGATACATCGCAACAAGCTTGTAGAACTCACAAGTGGCTTGAACGCTTCATCAAAGCACGAGAACTTCACCATTTACTGACATCGATGAAACTACGAGTGGACACAGCAAGAGCCATTTAAATGAAAGTAGTCCTGTTTGCTAGGGAGTAACAAAATGAAACTAGTCGCTGGAAGAAGCCAATCTATGCTACACGTCGATGCCAAAACTATTGCAGTAACATGCATCTGTAACACTGGACGTGGAAACAACGCAAGCGTATTGTGTTACTAAAAATGACCTGTACATGGGTCAAGAAAACACCAATATTATATACACATGCACTTCGAGTCGATCAACTCGAGTTCGGGAATCAACAAGTCATACATGTTTAAAACGGCTAAGAAAACCATTCAATTTCTGACTGCAACAGTAGTAATAAGAAACAGAAGTTCAGCGGAACGTTCGCTAGAATTGAAACCAAGCAGAAACGATAAACGACGAAATCAAGGTACAATGCGCAAAACTAGGCCAGTAAAACCTACATCCTTTTTCTCTCAACAAGGAATGTTTTCGCTAATTTACTACAGATAAGTGCAACCTATAAAAAAACTAGCACAGCAGTGTAAAAATAAAGTAGGGATCCAAGCAGTTAGTGACGAAAAAAGCAAAAAATAATTTTTAATAATTGATTCTGGATGAGACTGAACACAGACTGAAGCGAAAATATACAAACAACTGAGCCCATGCGGTGGCTTCGGAATGTCTTAAGAACAAAAAAAGCCAATTCACAAATGATTCCATGCAACTATGAACGACCAACTTTCCTGTCAAGCAGAAGTACAAAGTGGCTTAATTGGCGGAAATGGAAGAAATATTTAGCATCAACATTGGAAAAATTAATAAATAAACAAGAATAATGAATGGAGGAAACCGGAATGGCAAACCCTAGAAATGGTAATTTTAAAACAATGCTTTCAAAATGCCCTGTCATCGTACAGATGTGGAGAAGCAACATAAGTAGTTTAAAGTGCTGTTAACTAGACCGTGTTAATACGATTTCTGTGGGAGAAATACCTATAACTGTTTCGTCCTCTGACGCTGAGTCTTGATGGGCCGAACTGGATACTTCTGGTTCAGGCGCGAATAAACGTTCTACTTTTTTTTCACGCGGTCTACTACAATGGAA